ATAGACAGAACGAAAAACAAATCTGTACATAACATACATCTTTATTAATTTTCTAATAAATACTAAATATACAACTGTAAATGTTATTACTGTATTTTTTATGCAACTTAGAATGGCAAACAAGCTGACGGCCCACCTGATAGAAAATGGTAACGGTCGCCTATAGACATGAGCGGTACCATGGACATAACAGAGTATACTGTATCATTATAAATCTTTTTTTCTTTTGATGTACTATTTTTTTTTTTTAGGAAATTGAACAAAACCTTTTAAGTCAGATTCAAAAGAAACAATGGTGACCAAAGATTGGTGACCGTAATACTTACTGATATTATAAATGTGCAAGTGAGCTTGTTTGTTACTTGTTAGCACCTTAACAGCTTAACTAATTACTATGAAATTTAATATGCCCGTACTATATAGAATGGAGATCGTTATATGCTACTTTATATCGCGGTCAGTAAACATATCCCGATCAAAAAGCTAGTATAAAATAAATCGACATATTTTTGCATATTGTCCAAAACTAAATATATCTTTTTTTTATGCACACAGGGGGCAAACGAGCATGCTGCTCAACTGATGGTAAGTGACCACCCCCGCCCATGAACATCCACAACACTAGAGGCCTTGTAGATGTGCTGCCGGCCTTTTAAAATGAAATATACTCATTACTTGAAAAGTAAAATGAGCAGCAACGTCCCTCTTAAAACATGACCAAAAGCCAAACGGTTGTTGCCAAACCGCATGCCAAGCGTGGCAACTACTGGCCCCATATGGAGATGCTACGTTCTGCAGTGGACAATTAACGGCTGACATAAAGTTACTGTTCCATACGGAACATAAAGTTTCATATGGCAACATTGTTACTGATCTTTTTAAATTTAGTCTCGCTCGCTGCGTTCACCTATCTCTGCGGTATGATAATTTAATTTTCATATTTTCATAATGTAGCCCTCTGGATTAAGATATATATATAACAAAATAGTTAATACCGTTCATTATTTACTATTACGTGTTTTTTTTTTTTTGTATCGTCCAGTTCATCACATAAAAAGTTGGTCCTTCGAGCCGGATTTGAACTAGCGAACTATGGATCCATGAGTACTTAGTTCGCAGAAGCAGAACAAGACACCATCAATAGCGTCAATTACTGTATATTCTGTTCCTATTTTCCTTTAAAATGAATAGGGTCGGTAATAGAAATGATCCCATCCCATCGGTGGACCAACTTGTCAGTCATAACATTTCATTTGTCATTCTAAGTAGTTTTAACAAAACGGTATATTGAATGTTTTTTTCTTTAATTTACCAGTTTTCTCTTGTCGGAACAGCTATGTTTTTTTTTCTATTCTAAGACTCCTTCTCGGTCAATGGACTAATAATAATAGTAAAATAAATGTTGAACTATTTTCTGCCTATTATGTTACATCAGTGAGTGACCCGAATACTATTACTGGGTATGTAACTAAAGAGTTTTAATTAAAAGCTTCTAAAAATAACAATTCTGTTTGTATGTTTAAAAGCGAACTTTCTTTGAAGGAAGGGGCCATGGCGGCTGTCCGCCTCGGCGATCAGCTGCTGTACACAAACCAAGTTACAGTTGGCGAAGCCGCAGAACGGTGTATCTAATTAACTGCTCGCTCCACAGTCGCGAACTGAATCTTTGATTCATTTGCACCGCTCCGGAGACGACACTGCGATACTATCATTACTCTCAAATTATATAGATAGTTTCCATACAAATGCCTCGCCAAAAACAGGTTAACTTTTTACCTACATGTGCGTGTAAAAGAGTTGCCATATTGTACATTTTTTACTCGGTATACGGGAGAAATTATCACATATATGTAAGCAATGCATGTATATTTACAGCAATTTGATACAATATTTTTTCGTGATGGTATGGTAAAATTCCAATAATGGATTTTAAAAATTCCAATGGCTCGCTTATTGTTTTTTGCCATTTACTGTAGAGATGATGGGCCCATGGGGCCCAGATGCAAAGAATTTTTATCGGACGATCGCAGCGCACCTCATCCAGGTTACTGGTGACCCAAGAGCTGGTAGTTTGGCAATCCAAAGAGGTAATGCTGCCAGTATCTTGGGTACGCTGCCTCGGTGTGGTGCGTTGGGAGATTACTCATAATTAGTATTAGTATTTAAGGAATTCTATATTAACTTTAATTTATTGATGTATTGGATGTGATATTAAATTTAAGATCTCTGATATCATTTTTCTTTAATATCTCTCATATATATGTATGTATGTACAGACATCGATTCGTTACAATTTTTCCCATAATATTTGAGGATAGCATACTTGTGAATTCAGAAAACAATTTTTTATACCACTAAAGTGGTTGTTATTCGTGTTTTACGTAAACAAAACAAACATCCACGGCGCGGACTACTCGACTTTGGGTAACTCCGAAAGAGCCCACTCGCCCGCTAAACTTCCCCGTTCTAGGAAAACTCGTAAAGGTGATTATAAATTCATTAGGCAATAAAAAAGAATCAGCATTGCAGTGTCCCCCCCGCCCCCCGTTTTCTTCGAGTGCCATCGCAAAGTTATAATTAGGTAGCCGTAAAGGGAATACTAATAAGTGCGAGTAAGTGCAAAGTTTATTTTCTTTAAGTAATTCGCGCTTCATTGTATGCGTAGAGCGGTTTATTTAAAGTCTTCACTTTATTTTTATATTTTGCCGCAGTGTAAAATGTGTTTTGTAAAACATAATTATTTCAAATAGAAGTCAATAGATGGCGTCGTATCTTAATAATAGTGGTTTTTTATCATTACCTATAAGTTCATGTATTAAAATCACGAGTTTAAAGGAATACATAAACTTTGTACATATTTAAATTAATTCTTTATTGCACTTGCAAATTACATAGATAATACATTTATAAATATTGTGAGCAAAGGTGGGCTTATCGCTGACAGAGATCTCTTTCAGTCAACCCAATATTCTGTTACGGCCAAGTTCCCTTTGGCCGCGACAGAACATCAGAACTTTGCTCTTTTGAGGGCGAGGCAATAAACTAAGTTGTGACCATTTTGTATTGTCATGACACACGCACAAACGAAAAATTGTATTTAGCTTTATTTTTTTTTTATCATTTATGTTATCTCACTTTTTATATATATCTATATATGTTGTAATTTGTGCGCTGTAAGTAATGCAAATAAATTATCTATCTATCTATCTATCTATCAATATAGTTGGAAAGCATGTAGTTAGCAAGCAGCTGAAGTAGACGAATTCTGTACGAACAGCATCAATACATATGTATATGCTATTATATATAATAACATAAGCTACAGATAAATGAAATATTAACACAACAATATTAATGTTATATAAATATATAATACGTACCTACTTATACAATAAATGTTATAATAAATGTATATACTAACAATATTAGAAATTTAGTCAAATAATTTTAAAATATGACAATTAAATTTGAAAAATGAAAAAGTAGTCTCTTTATTGAATTTCCTACTTTTAGAATCCACGTGTACGAAGTAGCGGTAGTAAAAAAAGCTTGTAAAAATTGTAATAAATAATCATTAAAATCGGTTTACAGTACATATATTTCGTAAAATATAAACAAAATACAATAAAAATTGAGAACCTCTATTTTGAAATTGATTAAAGGTTATCTAAGATTATATATATATATAGCATTATCATATATATATATATATATATATATATATATATATGATAATGCTATATTGTTCACAAAATGCTTAACAAGCTTTCAATCGAGGCCATTATAGTTGAGGCACAAATAATATGTTTGATGCCTAGATCTGATGTGAATAATTAATTAACTATAGAAACCTAATTTCTCGAGACTAAAGTCTAGCTTCACAATAACTAGTATAAATAATTACAATATAATTACAGTATGCCTGTAGAGGACATGTTAAAGTTAATAATTAATTAATATGAACACAGTTACGGATTAAAAGGCTGAACTTCGCGGCGCCGTCTCCGGTCGTCTCGTTTCTCTTTAGACAAAACGAAAACTCATTCGAGCGAAACAAATTTAATTACAGATTGGCCTGGGACAAAACAGTGGGCTCTCTAATACGCCACCTGGAGCGAAACGTTAATAGAATTCGAGAGCGGATTTTCTAAGTTTTAAAATGTCCGAAACAAGACCCCGAGGCACCGTGAAAAGTTCTCACCCTTTACGGACGAAACTTTGCGTGTTTAAGTACTTTTATTTTTCACAGATAATAACTGTTGAATATTTAGAGGGATCGAAAGAGACAGCTATCATGTTTCAGCCTTAATTTAGCAATTCACACTTCTGTCTCTATACATATAATACAACTGTAGAGGTTGAACGTCTGTACATAGAAAAAAATGCTAAAAATCGAGTCAGGGAGGTGTTAGAAGTGAAATAGAACACATTTAGATTCTTTTTCAAATTCACTGTTTGTTTGTCTGTTTGTACGGGCTAATCTCCGAAACTGTTGGAGCGTTTTAAATGAAATTTTGCATGGTGGTACCAGACATTCCTTGTTAATATTTTAGATACTTTCAAACACGGAAAAGTAAAGTTTTCCCGTCGAATAGTTAAAAAACTATAGTAACTTAAACAGCTTAGTACACAAACAAATTAAGTCATTTTGACCTAAGGCCTAGTTGACCTAAGGACATAGTTCACTATAACAACACAAGGTTAAAAATGTTAATCGAAAGAATAACAAATACCACGCGGACAAAGTGGCGGGCATCAGCTATTAACATATTACTAAAATAGCGCCTGATATAATTTAATAGCAACAAGTTTTATTACAAGATTTTGCTCAATCTCACGAGAAAGGCGCATATTGCTCGACGTATTATTATTGCATAAGCGTGCAGTGTATTTCAATTCATAAAGTTTTGTATAATTTCACGCCCATTTGATTTTATGCGCGGATCTAACTACTTAAAACGGCGAATGAAACGTAATATTTATTCTATGAATATAACCTAGAATACACTGCAAACCTTTTAACCGGCGATAACACTCACCACGGAAGCAGTTTTAGCTTTACGAGCGTGCCGAAAAACGAAAAATTCCGTGAGAAAATGACGTGCCTAAATTTGAGATCTTGGAATACTTGATGACTATTATATTATACCTACTTTATCAAGATTCCTACCGAAGGAACAAAATGAACTGATGTTTAAATAACTACGCACAAAGTTAAATTAGAAAATGTTGTATGGATTCTACCTATTTATGATATAAATTTATCCAATATGCTTTCTTGGAAGGCTGTGTTAATGTTTACATATATTGTTGTGTCTGGAAAAGATACTGGAGTGATATTGACGGGTGAAGAGGCAGGCATAGATTACTCTGACTTGGCTGCTGAGGCAGAGAGACACAAGAACGATATATTGAACTTTTTGAATCAAACGCGAGTGCGCGAACAGTACAAAGCTATGTTTGAATTCCTGCTTGATAAATTGACTGGTATTGCTATTTTAATTAAGTATACCGCTGTTCGGTTCCAGAAGTCATCATTAGGAGTCTTTTTGCGTGATAGAATCCGAAACGAGGATATCCGCAAAACTAAAATAACCGACATAGCCCGAAGGATAAGCAAGCTGAAGTGGCAATGGACTGGTCACATAGCTCGAAGAACCGACAACCGATGGGGAAGAAAGGTTCTTGAGCGGCGACCACGTACGGGTAAACGCAGTGTAGGACGACCCCCCACTAGATGGAGTGACGACCTGAAATGCGTTGCAGGGTGTCAGTGGATGCAGGTGGCTCAGGACCGTTCTTTATGGCAGTCTATGGGGGAGGCTTATGTCCAGCAGTGGACGAATAATGGCTGGAATTATGATACCGCTATTCACTGTTTAGACTTTTTCACTTCGTGCAATGGGTATTAGATTGTATTAATCCAATTAACAGTACAATGAGTAGGTACTTTGTTAAATAACAATAATATACTCGTATCAAGTAAGTTTAGACCAACCATCTGGTACCTATCTATATACAGGTACTTACAAACTATCTGTACACTTAAATCGATAATTATATAGATTTTCCTGCTAAAATGTAACGTTATTTTATACTATAATATGCTAGTTATGTGAAATTACCAGATTTTCCAACATGTATCTTATTAAAAATATCCAAAAGTATCTAATGTTACTAACATTTACCTTGGTAAGTACTTACATGCCGGCCGCAGGGCCGCAGGGGCTTGTACATAAATCACTCTCTATCACAAAATAAGTGAGAGCGTACAAAATATTGTACTTAGTATGGATTAAATTACAGTACCCACTTTATTTTCAGGTGGTAGCACTACTAATCGCAGAGGTAAATCTATTATTTTATCAGATAATTTAAAAATATGTTATAAAAGCATCCACCCAAAATACAATATGTAATCTACATCACAGATTAAAGCGTCTATTTAAGATTTTATCTACATATCTATCTTCAATCAGGCCCATGTCACTTCTAAAAAAAAACGTTTGCATAAAATCTGTGTAACTATTGCAGTTTCGTAAATGTACCCTATAAAGTAATTAGATTTTTTATGGTATCATAGATATTTTAAAAAATAAATAAATAATAAAAATGTTTATTTGGGATCCTTAGCTTAATTTACAGTTTTTTGTAGGTTCGATAATAACTGCATTAGTCACAAAGAGACTGTGTCGCAGCTATTAACGCCCGCTCAATAACATGCGGTACAAAATTTAAATAACAATAACACAGAAGAAAATTAATAAAATTACTAAAAATAAAACTAATCAATGGATTTTGTACGAGTGTGTGTGTGTGTGTTTGTGCGGGTGCGTGCGTGCGTGCGTGTGCGAGCATGTGTGTGTGTGTGTATGTGCATGTTTAATTTTAATAATTAAACCTTGATCAATGACTCGACATCATCATATTCAAGAGTCATTAGCCAATTAATCAATTTTATTTTGCAATCTCGTAAAGAAAGTGGATAGATTGTTAATAACATATTTATTTTATTATATAACTTGTTACTCATGTACTTATATTGACGGTTCACTACATCTAGACGACATTTATCAATTTTACAAACTTTATGAGTAATTCTTTTGTCTATAAGTAATAAGGGATCATATGGAAGGGACTTATGTTTACGCAGTATGGACATCAGTACAAATAACTTTCTTACACTATTTACTTTCCATAGTGCGAACAGATCTTTTGTTGGATACCTGATGGGTTTAAAAGCCATAACTTTTAATACTGCTCGCTGAGCTCTTTCCAATCTTAGCATTTGCGTTTTATTAAAAGCTCCCCATGCAGTTATACAATAACCAATAATGGATTGTGTAAGTGCAAAATAGGCAGTTTTCAAAATTTTGAAATCAGCACCATTTCTCAATTTTTTAAAAACGTAAATTAGCTTTCTAACACGTGTGATTACAGATTCAATATGTCTATTCCAAGACAGCATACTATCTACAATTACACCAAGGTATTTGAAATTGTCTGTTCGTGATATAGAGAGGCAATCACAATCAGAATTACCTATGGTATTACATTTGTGTGCTAGTATTTTAAAAGATGAGTCTGGTTGGGAGATCTTATTGGGAGAAAATGTTACTAATTTGGTTTTATTTAAGTTTAGCGTTAGAAGGTTTTGTGCCAACCAGTTTGAAATAACAAACAAAGCAGATTCAGCATGAGATCGGGCCTCCGCCCAATCATGCCCATGAATTATCAAAGCTGTGTCATCGGCATATGTTATTATGTTACAATTTGGGAGGGACATTTTGCATAAATCATTGATATATATCAAAAACAAGGTAGGCAAAAAATTTTGGCCATAAGATTTTTAAAAAAGATTATGCAACATTGAATATTTATTTAATTTTGTTTTGTTAATGTTTCTAGGTAATTGCATAGATTAATTCTAGTTTCGTCAATACAAGGGCAGTGCTGACTCTTGAAATACTTACTCTGTGCTTTAATTTATATTTCCCGCCAATTAAGGTACCGCGTGCGGTCTCTGTTTTTTTTTTTATCAAGTGACTTGCATTCCTACTTTAAAATAATAGCTTATGTTAGTTTTTACTTATAAAACAGATTCGCACTTTCTATTACCGTCGCAATTTCTATCAGGATTTTGTTGAAATTAAAAAATAAAAAACTATCCAACAATTTTATTACATTGAGAACCAAAGTACCAATTTACTTTTTTTTTCAAACACATAGCAGAAAAAATAATGACTAATCTCCGGATCTTTATTACATTAAACAAAAGATTGGGCTGTATAGCATTTTACCTTTGCTTTTTCCCCTTTTCTGTTTATTACAGTCACTAATATTACTATTAACTGTGCTATTAATTTCTAATAAATAATGTAACTATTGAAAGGCTCAACCCGGCGTATCGTGTCTGGCCGAAATACATCAATAGCGGCGGTTCCGTGGCAGGTGTCGCTCCGGGAGAAGACATATCCGATATGCGGAGGCTCGGTCGCCACTGACATCTGGCTGCTCACCGCCGCCCACTGTTTACTGAGGTACATTTTAGGGATGGATAATATATACCAATATACATATATTATTATCGATTATTAATATCACATTGTGGTCCCGGCACAGAATAGGCCACCCTTTCCTTTCCCGTGGGTGTCGTAAGAGGCGACTAAGGATGGGCGAGGGATTGGCAACAGCGTACCTCTTAAAACATCTGTAAAGCCTAACTGCGGTTGCCAATCCGTTCGCCAAGCGTGGCAACTACTCGACAAAACCCCTCAAGGGAAATTGCTTGTGTTCACCAGTGGACAATTAAAGGTTGGTAAGTGTTTCATCATGATATTCAGACTATCCCCACCACCATCATCATGTGAAGCAGTTGTGTTCGCATGGTTGTGTTTCAGCTTGAAGGGTGGGATATGGCATAAATTTACTGGGTACGGAGGAATAACACCTGAGTCCTCAGGAATGGCAACGCATGAGGGGTATCATGGGCGAAACAGTATACTTTGTTATGTCCATGGTACTGCTCATGTCTATAGGCGACGGTTACCACTTTCCATCAGGTGGGCCGTCAGCTTGTTTGCCATTCTAAGTTGTATAAAAAAAATCATTATCACCATCATCATCATCATCATCATCATCACGCCATTATCTGTGCTCTGCTGAACATAGACCTCCCCCATAGTCTTAAGAATATCATGCATAATATCAATTTAAAGTAATTCAGTATTAACATCGTAGACACATTAGACTGAAAATATTTATGCTATTTATACCTATTTATGCTTTAATTCCTTCTACCCAAAGGTTATCTGGAAGAAATTGCTTAGCAATAAGACCGCCTTTTGTACTACACTATACGTATTGAAAATTGTTCAACAAATCCTGTCATGTTGGTGCAATAAAGTGTTAAATAAATATAATAAATAAATATTAAATCATGCGTCTACACGTAACTTTTGGTTCTCAACAAACAGCAAATTTTAGTGCAAAAAAAAAAAACAGTTTCATTGATAATAATCGAGTAATAATAACAATAAAAAATATATAGAAATTGGAACCTCCTCTTTTTATATATGTATTACTTAAAAGAAAAAAAAAAAAACAGTCAAATTAAAATCTGTCATTTCTGAAGTCGCTTAAAATTGGAACTTAAATTGTTTCTAGCAAAATCGAGTTTGCACTGTCATTCAGCTCTCAGATTTCAGCACGCAAGTAATGTTATCCACCGAAACGCGTAATCCGATCCCCTGCCTCCCCGGGGGATATCGCTTCGCACATCCACAGTTTCTGACCGAAAAGCCAACTAAATCTCACGTTAGGGTTGCCAGATGAGATTTTTTTATTTTTACCTAATTTTTTTCTCCATATTGATAAAGTTTCTTACGTGTTATACCATGTAACTATAACGCGAACGATAGAAAAAACACACGCCATTCTGTATATCTGATTCCTTCATCTTATGCTACCTTCATTGATATATTCTACTGAATTAATATTCAACAACTGCAAAAAAAAATATCCAAATTTCTCCATGCTCAAATGATTTTGCTCCAAAAATTTCACCAAAACACATCGCAGGCCAAAATTTTACCCAAAATTGTGAATAAAAACCCAATCTGGCAATTCTGTGCACAGTCGTTACACGAAATATTTCAATGTGCCACCAATAGTTGTCGGCATTGAATAAATTCGACCGACCGTCCTGTATACGACAGCCTTTTTATAGTGTGCCCCTCGTGAATCGCTCCTTCCCGCAATTTCAATTTATCCTCGAGTGAATTGTATTTTTTCGAATGCAAAGCAGCAATCGCCCGCGGCGGCCCACGGAGCCGACCATTGGTATCTATTTGAATAGATAGCGCAACTGTAACAAAGACAAGACACGACCTACTCAATTCGGAGTTAATATATGTAATTTCATGTCCATATTTCGAATGCCTCAAGCATCTTTTTTATGTGGACATGGAGGAGGATATGGAAAGGATAAGCTGGACAGAAAAACTAACGAATGAAGAAGTCCTGAAAAGAATGAACGAGAAAAGAACATTAATTAAAGCAAATAAATAGAAGAGGTAAAATGCTGGGCCACCTTATACGACATGACGATTTTTTAAGAGCATAGTAGAAAGAAAAATAGAGGGCAAAAGAGGAAGAAGAAGACCAAGGAATAACTACATGAGACAGATAAAAGAAACACTATGTGTCATGTCGTATAGGGAGGAAGGATATGGCCTGGGATAGAGCTGGCTGGAAGAGAATGCATGAATTAGTTGCAACGACAAGAGGAAACTCTTAATGAAAAAGAAAATATGTAATTTATTTTAAAAAAAGAATAAATTATTGAAAAAATAACATAAAAGTCTTAAACCCCATATTAAGAAGCATACAAATATATATATATATATATATATATATATATATATATATATATATATATATATATATATATATATATATATATATGCCTTGATTATTTTAGCAAACTGATAAAGTCTCCGCAACCTGTAATTTAACTGCCATATCTTTGGATTTGGCTCCAAAATTTGGATTATTCTTATAAGAGCACAACCGGTGATCACGCCGTCTTTAGCAAACTTAAGGACAATACAATCTATGAATGCGATCAACTGAAAAAAGAATAACTAATGTAGAAACTGTCATAACTAATTTAATAGTGGCACATTTAGATCTCATATTTCTATTCTATTCTCATATGGACACGAGATACTTACGCCATCTATTCCCCCTGTGTCTATGTGCGAAGTGTAGATTCCTTCCCGTTGTATAGGTGGCCGGTGGGGACGCCCAGTCGCAGTTTACGGTTGCTCTCACGGAATTTATCTTCACCCACTTTGAAAGCGATACATTCCCGCCAAAATGTTGGAGTTGCATCCCAGTCCAATATGCTATGTATTAGGGGGCATCCATTTTGTTTGTCTTTTCGTAGGACCATTAAATAGACTTGTGTTCTGGGGATCGAATAAAAAACTCGTATTTAGTGAATTGTTGGCTATTTATTTATTAGGGTAGACATACCATTATTCTCCTGTGGACATTGTAAAATATTATATGTTCTGAACCTTGTTGACTTTTGAAACATTCATTTTCTTTTATATGTTAATAATAATAATAATAATATTTATTCAAGAAAGATACAGTTGCATAAGGTACAATTTACAATTTTTACAATTTATATTCAACGAGGAAATATCTGCATTACCATCATTCCCCAAATTAGGCCAGACCTGTATCTTGGGGACTATTGTTGAGGGTATATATTGGTATTACTTTGGAACACAATATGAGTTAAAGCTTCATTAATTGCTAATAATTATCAGTGTTAATATAGAAATAAAGAATTAATGATTTTGTTACAAAAACAAAATTTAAAATTTGATGAAGATCATTAACATTATAAGGTCCAATGTGAACCTACGTTGAAGGTGTAAACGCTACTGAACAAATTTCAATTTAAAAAATACAAGTTTTGATCTAATAATAAAATACTAAAACAATTTTAGTAAAATATCTATGGAACCAATCTGTAAGTATATCGGTTCAAATAAAAAAGACTTTTCCAAATCGATTTAGAACTCACGGAGTTATGTTAAAAATAATACAATCGAATTGGGAACCTCCTTGATTCAAAACAGAAAATAATATTCTGTAATACACCTAAAGTCAAATTTGACACTTATGAAGGTAAAATTTCAATTATATTTTCTGCTATTCCTGTCTATGGTCGACTAGTAGATAACGCTATATGGTCTTAAGTCCGCCATTTACACTATCTTGGTGTATTAAAGTTTAATAAATAAATAAATAAAATTCCTTTAAAACTATAAAAGATATTTTTATCTATCTACTACACTTTTGATATGAAATTATCCAAATAATATACCAGAGGGAGATTTTGTACAAAAGTCGTTTGCTTGGGCACCTCTATCCCATTTGTGTTTTTACCGAGAAGCAGTTGTGTTTGCATGGTTGTGTTTCGGTTTGAAGGATGGGATATGACAGTGAATTTACAGAGTACAGAGGAATAATACCTGGGTCCTCAGGAACGCATGGGAGGTATCATGGGCTAAACAGTATACTCTGTTATGTCCATGGTACTCATGCCTATAGGCCACGGTTACCACTTTCCATCAGGTGGGCCGTCAGCTTGTTTACCATTCTAAGTTGCATAAAAAAGTCTAAATATAATACAATAATAAGGAAATCGAATCAAACCGTCACGAGACCTTTATTTTCCCTATCGGAGATAAAACAGAAATATCCGTTTTTACGAAATCCGAACGTTCGCGTATTTAGTGTTATTAAATTAGCTAACTACGACTCGAACTAGCTCCGCCTCTCTAAAACCTCCAAGGCCTGGGTCTAGGCCGGAATTTTCTATTTTCGTTTCAGATCTTTCCTGTGGCTGAGTAGGTAATTGATTTACCTCAGCTGCGGCACGTTGCTCAATGGAAAAATGTAATTAAAGTTGAATGAGTACGTGGAATACTGTGCTGTTGTAATCACTGACGATAACGCCATTGCCATAAAGAGAGAAAAGTCTAGGTCTTGTTTTACAAGCTGATATTAAAAGGAAATTAAACTTTTTGCATTCTCTGTAAAATATCTACAAAAAATTAATCTTTAAGTCGTATGATCCCGGTATAGAATGGACCATCCCTTTCTTTCTCATGAGTATCGTAAGAGACGACTAAGGGTTAAGGGATGGGCAACAGCGTCCCTCTTTTATAAAAAGACCACCGAATTTAAAACCTCTGCCTTTTTTGAAGTTAGTCGTAAGCGATTTAAAATTGACGATGCACTTGCATCATATAGCTACAAGTAAAAAATACAAAAGAATTGAACACAGTTTTGTCAAAAATTAGACAAGGGTACGAGAACTACAGCATGGGGTTCTTCAAAAGGGGGGTAAAGAGGTTTCTTCAGGGTCAGCAACGCGCGCGTAATGCCCCTGATATTGCAGGCGTTTATCAGGCTACGGTAATCGCTTGCCATCAGGTGGACAGTATGCTTGTTTGCCACCTCAGTGGTATAAAAAAGACCTTTTTCTAAATGTCGTTAAAAATGTCCTACATCTACAGAGCTCGTTCGAATGAGCTGAGCGTCCGTCTCGGCTCCTCGTGGAAGTCGCACGGAGGTGAAATGTACGACGTCAAAGAATACTACGTCCACCCTCGGTACGTCAGCAAGAGCAAAGTCAACGATGTGGGGCTGGTCAGACTGTATTCGCCTCTGAGGTTCTCGGCGAGGGTGCTGCCCATAAGGTTGGTGGCTAAGGAGGCAAGACTGCCGGCTGACGAGCTGGCTATCGTCTCCGGCTGGGGGAAATTAAAGGTAAAAGCCAAATAACTGTTTGTACTATTATTCAAATCTTAGAGTCACGAGTCTTAAAACCGAGTCAACTTTTTGTCAGCTAATTATCAAATTAACTCAGTAAATTTTTTAGTAGATTTTTTGTAGAGTAGATTAGATTCGGTGTTTTTTATACTTACGCACACAATGTATTTATAAAATAAATAAAATGAGTTATCGCATATAAAAAAAAGGTACAGAATTTATAAAACAAAATAAATATAGATGTTATACAGGAATCACTCCTATCTTTTTTACACGCAAAAATGTATGAAAAAGTTGACCCGTTTCTTTCGAAGCATTTGTATGGAGAGAATCTATCTATATTATCTAAGATTCAGATCCATCTGGCAATTTATCTAACAACATGGTTGATCATTTTTTTTTTTATTTAAAAAATCAAGATTATTAGGACTTTGCAAAAACTGTAGATTATTTTTGGCATGCTAATAAATTAATTTAAATCCACTTTACTTATAATCGTTCATTATAACAGCTCTTTATCGTTCCACTGCTGGGCACAGACCTCCCCATAAGAGGATCCCATTACTGAACAGATTTGTGGGGAAAAGAGATTGTTAGTAATGGAGATTAGCAATCCCATTGCTAGCGACGTACCCCATTGGGGAGACGGGATTGTTAGTAATGCGAACTACCAGTACTATTGCTAGCAGTACTCTCTGTCAGGTCGACCTCCACGCGATGCCCCCTGGAAAACATTGTGCTGAATTCCAGATATATTCATCACGATGGACTATACTACGACTCACTTACCTATCATCTCTCACTGGTATCCCGTTAGCGCAGGCGGGGTTACCATTCCATTATCATCCATTATAAAAAGACATACCCTGTTAAATCGAGTTTCTCGCAGTTCGTCCTGGAAACCGTCGTGATTTACTTATTATTGAATTCGTCACGATGGACCAGCTGACCTACTTCAGCTTCACCTATCATCTCTCACTGGTGCCCCGCTAGCACTTACCGAATTCGGGGTCACCATTCCATTATCGTGGATAACATTTTTTTTTTTATACAACTTAGAATGGCAAACAAACTGACGGTCCACCTGATGGAAAGTGGTAACCGTCGCCTATAGGCATGAACAGTACCATGGACATAACAGAGTATACTGTTTCGCCCATGATACTTCTCATGCATTCCCATTCCTGAGGACTCAGGTGTTATTCCTCTGTACCCAGTAAATTCACGCCATATCCCACCCTTCAAACCGAAACACAGCCATGCAAACACAACTGCTTCACGGTTGAAACACGAATGGGGCAGAGGTAATAGGTATATTATTTTGTTTAATTAATGAATCTAATCAACTAACCAGTCCTTTTTTTTATCAGTGACATATATATATATATATATATTGGGTTTGTGAAAATGGAATGGTAACACTGCGTTAACGGAATACGCTGGCGGAGCAACAGTGAAGGGTGATAGATGAGAATGAAAACAGGCCAGTTAGCCCATCATGATGAATTCATCAGGAATTAACCATGATAGTTTCCAGGGGGAACCGCGAGGAGATCGACTTGGTTGGGTATATTGCTAGCAATAGGATTCTCAGTCTCCATTACTAACAATTCCTTTCCCCCCATCAATGACATATTCAGGAAGGAGGTCCTAGCGCCACTTATCTCCAGTCATCCACGGTGAAGACGATTGCAATGAAGCTGTGCCAGCGATCTGGGCTTGATAGGAAAGCCATTGACCCTGCCTCCATGTTTTGTGCTGGCTACTTCGAGCAACCGTCACCTGACGCTTGCCAAGTAAGTATTTCAAAAAGGAAGCATATACTGGAGGCGCACTTTATTTTTCATAGCTAACACCCAATTATCAATTAATATTGTCCATACGGTTTGAAGAGTGGGAGATAGCAGTGAAATTACAGAGTACAGAGGTATAAAACCTTAGTATGGCAATGCATGCGGGGTATCATAGGCGACACAAAAAACTCTGTTATATCCATGATACTGCTCATGTCTATAAATGACGGTTACCACTTACCATCAGGTGGGCCGTCAGCTTGTTTGCCATTCTAAGTTGTATAAAAAAAAATCTTATAAAAAACTATAATTGTCAATGTCTATAAAGGTTCGTTTTGAACACCGTGTTTAGTTAAATCAATGCGGTCAGTTATAAAATTGTAACAGTTGTTATAATTGCAATGGAACAGTTCCGTGCTGTTATTTTTTTAAACCTGTTATATTTAACAGTTCCGTTATATACGTCACACCTCTAGTGCGTACAATATGTTTTAGTAATAAGTGTAATTAAAAAAAAAAAATAATGTTTATGGTACAAGCTACCGTCACTACTACCAACATAATAGAACGACCAATCCGGGCAACTCGCGGGCATCCACCCGCTCGACATTGGCGCCCTCTACAGTAGTCTTACGCCGGCCGCCATTACGTTTCGCATATGTACTTAGACCTAGAGCGCGCTCCCGCCATTGCTAACAACTGTGTATTACTTGTTGCTTGTTTTGACAATCAGGGTCTTTCAATTCACAACCCACGACTCTGCTTACTATATGTTATATTTTTTCCAGGGCGATAGCGGTGGTCCGTTGGTAAGGAACGGCGTCCTGATCGGAGTGGTGTCGTGGGGACTAGGCTGCGCCAGGGGCAATTTTCCCGGCGTGTACACTAGGCTCTCGCATCCCATCATATGGGACTGGGTACATGGACACCTCACTAGGAGGGATAACAACTCTGTTATATAACAAATAAATTATTATGTAAATACTATTTTAATAAAATTTAATGAAAAATAACAAATATTTGATAGAATAAGCATAGAATAAGCCACGCATTCCTTTCCCGTGGATGTCGTAAGAGGCAACTAAGGGAGCGCGAGGGATGGACAGCAGCGCGGCAGCGTCCCTCTTAAAACAACTCCAAAGCCTAACTGTGGTTGCCAATCAACCTACCAAGCGTGGAAGTGGACAGTTAACGGCTGGTACAAATATTAATAATCCTCGATAATTAATATCATACTCGTAAGTACGAAAGTTTGTAACAATGAATGGATAATTGTCTGTTACTCTTGTACGCAAAAGCTACTGAACGAATTTAAATGAAATCAGACATACAGTTTTTTATGGGTGAAGTTGGATGGTATGGTAACTCCGCCTGCGCTACCGAGATACGCTGCTGGAGCACCAGTGAAGGGTGATAGATGAGAATGAAAACAGGCCAGTTAGCCCATCATGATAAATTCATCAGGAATTAACCATTATAGTTTCCAGGGGGAACCGCGAGGAGGTCGACCTGGTCGGGTATATTGCTAGCAATTGGATTCTCAGTCTCCATTACTAACAATCCCTTTCCCCTCTCTGACATACAGTTAGGTATCCTAACTTGCATATGGTATACTTTTTATACTTACTACCTTTTACCCGCGACTTATTTATATTTACCCATACATTTACTTACCAGGATAAAAAAAAGCCTATATCCTTCTCCGTCCCATAATGTAGTTGCATACCATATTTAATACTGATATGTTAAGCTATTAAGGCACTATAAGGTAACAAACAAACAAGCTTCCACATTTATAATATTAGTAAGAAACGCAGGAAAAGCCGCGGAACACTGCTAGTAAATCAAAATTAAACGCTATAAAGCCAACTTAAATCAATTTTATTAAAATCAAAATAAGAATGGGGTTTCTTTTAACAATATCCTCTATTATATTGTATTTCTAACTTTTATACATTTTTCTACATAATTATGGTTATAAATATTTAAACAAATAACAAGAATACCCAGTAAAGAATTTAACAAAAGCAACAGATACTATGTTTAATATAATACCAATATAGTTTATTTTATTTAGGCAGCATAATTTTTTTTATTACATATTCAAAATAAACATAGATCTAATTAATAAATGCCTTATTCTAAAATATACACTTATAAAAAAAAATTAAAAATATAAAAGATATTTAAAAAATAGATTAAAAAAACCCCCGCTATTAAATTCGTTTTTAGTTAGACCTATTTTTAAATATTTATTAGGTTTACTAAAAACTAGTTTAATTAAAGTAACATTAGTGTGTTACTACTACACGAGAGTAAATTGTTGGAATAAAAAATATACATAAATAAGACGGTTTAGAATTAACGAACATTATATAGTATATATATTAAAAAATTTTATAATTAAGAACCCTTTTTTTAAAACCAGTTATAAATAATCATCCCTCTTGTAGTTATTACCCGTTGGTACGAGCAATAATAGAGATGAAATATCTATAGTCTTTATATTATATAGGTAGAGCATCGAGCCTCAAAAATGGGTCAACTTTTTTTCAGCTAATTGTCAAATTAGCTGACTCGTTTTTTTTTTATCAGTGTTCTATATACGTACGCAAAGAATGTATCTTGACGTATTATTTAATAAATAAAACGTGTGTTTACACATTAAAAAAATTCAGAATTTATAAGACAAAATAAATATAGATGTTATACAGGAATCACTCATAACTATTTATCATGCAAAATTATATGAAAAAGTTGACCCGTTTATTTCGAAGCATTTCTATGGAGATATTCTTTTTATATAATCTAAGCTATAGTCATAGATTTCAATTTCTGATTAACTTTAGTTTTTTTTTTTTTTTTTGTAAAAAATATATAACCTAATCAAATTTAAAAAAAATATAATTATAATATAAACAAAAAATCTTCATGTTACCTATTCGTTAAATGTATTACAATAAAAATTATTAAAAGAGTTTTATTTAATGATTAGCATGTTTTATACCGAATGGTAAAAAACGATACACCCGTAAGTAATGCTTGAATACTTAAGAATTATAGATATGTGAACTATAATATTAAATATAAATAACGTAAGTGAATCTGCAAACACTATGTTATATACAGTAAAAGAAATTAATTCCAACATTATACTGAAATTTATTTTTTTACTATTTCATTGCTAAAAATAATTTTATTTGATTGAAAATTATTCGAATCAGATAGAGTAAACTCGAATATTTTTTCGACAATTTCTTAGTCTCGAATCAGGATAAGAACTGTCAAATACACTAATACCAAAAAATTCCGATGCGGCACATCACTATGCATTAATAATACACTCATAAATAAAACATAACGTTCGGATTCAATAAAACATTTGAAATTGATCGTGAGAAAGAATAAAAGTTGAATACTTGAATTTAACTCAACTTTTTTATATACCAAAATAATTTGAAATTCATTAAAAAAAATGACGCATTTATTTTCATATAATTGAAAAAACTGTTTATTTTAAATAAATAAATATACCTGAACATTATCGAGACAGCTCTATCTAGATTCAAACTCTAGCGAATCTAGACTCATGGCTACTAGAAAATTGATAAAAATATTTTTTTTTTTATAAATAAAAGTACATGCATATAAGTATGTTGATGTTGATATATTATTAGAACGAATCAAACAGACATACCTACATATGAATACAAGATGTGTGTACTGTACGGATATCGAACCTGCAACCGTCAGAAGGTAAGTAATTATATCAAATTATTCATTCACCAACACCATAAACAATTTATGTCATAATTGTTACTACTGTATGTTGAAAAACAAATTATTTTTGGTTAAAAACAATAGATACGCTCCGTTTTCTCAGTACCACTCTACTCTACCACAGATAACATAATATCTCAGCATCACTATTATAAATAGTAACTCTGGGGGGAAAGGAATTGTTTGTAATGGGGTCTAACAGCCCCTACCAAGTCGACCTCTACGCGGTTCCCCCTGGAAACCATCGTGGTTAATTCTCGTGGAATTCTTCACGATGGCCTAACTGACCTGTTTTCATCCTCACCTATCACCTCCCATTGGTGCCAGCCAGCATATACCGATAGTACAGGTGGGATTACTATTCCATTCTCACCCATTAAAAAAAATAACAACTCTGTAATAATATTATACTAACTACATACGAATAAAATTATTAAAAACAGAGTAAGTCTTTAAAAGGAGACGTTTCATCAATAGCGACAATGTTAATTTACAATATGTATAAAAAAGCTAACACCAAGCATTTTCCATATAACTTGTATTATTTTCTACATCAAATTATATTATGAAGTCATAATTCTCAATTGATAGTTCATCTTGGAATTGAGAATATTGATACTGAGAATTGAGAATGTTCTATAGCTGCCTACCTATAATGTGTGTACTACTATAATGTTGTTACTTTAAGTTTAATTTAGTTGATTGTAAGTATTAGCGACGTCATGTGCATTAGTTAAATATTGTTTTTAATTGCGAAAACCTGTCTTTTGTCTTTACTATCTTTTTTTTTTATTATGAAATTTTTTAACTAAAATTTTTTAATAAAAAATAAAAACACTAAGTCAAAATTGGTATAATTTCGATGACACTAAGACCATTAAATAATTGTTAAATACACAATATATTTTCACTTCGTGACACGTAGTTAAGTAAAAAACGTATGAAATTATTCTAAAATATATTTGTCTAATTAATTAATTTTGAATTTTGTTTTTATAAATCTCGCATTTTTCTAATTTCTTTGAGATAATATACAATAACAGAGCCCAAAGTGAAACGTCTCCTTTCATTTTATGATTAAATTGATTTTTCAAGCTTTTTTTTTTCTATTCGATATTTACAAGATTTTTTTGCATATAATATAGGTCATTTATTGACCATGTTTTCTGTCAAAAATACTCATAATTTGAACTGCCTTTCTACGTAGCAGATCAAACATTTTATTTATTATATATCCCTGTTATTTAAATTTTCAAAATCCTGACCCGTTGTTATTAAAAAATATGTGATATCAAATAAATAAAATTCTTTACCGATACTTGAATACATAAATATGATAACTGTAAGTACATAATATATGTACATGCTTAAATTTTGTCTTTGGTGCTTTATACCTATTTTAAAATAGCATGGTGTGGACAATCTGTGGAGATTCAGAATCCAAAATTGGGGTTATTTTTCTATAAACATAGAAAAATAACAATGCGTATTTGCTTATGTAAAATATATAAAATAAATTCCATCATTTGTAATGAAATAAAAATTAAATTAAAAAAATATATATCAATATTTTTTTCTATTTGTACAGCTTCAAAATATTTTAAGTTCCATGAACACAAGCCAGCCTAAATAAACAACACCATGCTATTTTAAAAAACAGGAAAAACAATATACAAATTGCCACTTAACATAGATTACATTAAATTCATTTACAAAGCTCCGCGTATTAGCACAGTGTATGTATTACTACTTCGTGTATTAATTTAGTCTAATATATGCTACACATAGTACAAACATCCGAGGCTCCCAACTATTCAACAACCATTTACAATTTAGTCTTTGACTAAGTATGTAGCATATGTGGCATATAGACCAGTCGTCATTTATTTTTCTTTACAACCTCAATACGTCGAATATTTTTTTTTTTTATTAAATAACATATAAAATTGTTAAGGATTTAAAGTCCTCACTCGTTTCTATAGGTATTTAAAATCGTATTGAATAATATTATAAAAAGCGAACTATGTGTCAAATACAATTTATAATCTCTCTCTTGCTTTGTCCATTTCATAACTCGGCTCAAAACTTTATTAGTAATAACTTAAATACCATGTAACCTGGATCGTAGCTAGACCCAAATTTAAGGTAGAACAAAAGAACTTTTTGGTAGGGCAAAAGCCATAATTAAGTGGTCAAAAAGCGAATCTGTCTTATTTTTATTTAGAGCTTTACAAAAAACATCGTAACATAATTGATATACGATCAACGGTTAGCACTTCCTTCTCCGAACCTTCAGGTTATGGAATAAAGTGTCGAGGTTTACCCAAAAGGCTACGCTATGGGATTCTTCAAAAAACAACAGTAAAGGTTTTTTTCAAGATGGGCAACACAGAAAGACTGGTATTGCAGGCCTTTATAGACTACGGTAATAAATTCACCTCAGTGGTATAAAAAAAAAACTAAAAATAAACACTATTTCAAAAATAATTATCAAAACCGGTTCAGTATTGACGAAAATATCACAAACATACACAACGCATACAAGAACAAAATACACAAATTAAGAATTCCATAATTTTTAAATCATTTTGAGGATTACCAAAAAGGTAGATAAAAACTCACATGATGTCATGTTAAATTGGCATTTAACAGCTAGTAACAAAATATGCAATATAATACAAATTTGCTATAAACATACATTTATAATATCAACAGAAATGTAATAGGTATATCTAATTATGTACAATTCCCTGTTATACACGCCTACACCAGCTCACATTTATAAGCTTTTTCTAACACGACTAGGTTATTCTAAACGTCTCTAATAACATAAACTGGATAAACAATTAGGCTAAAAACCAACATTGGACTTCAATTTGCCTGTTTACCATCTCATGATATATAAAAACATCTGTTAAATACAATTGTTTTTATGTCCTCTACGTGATATCTCACCATGTGGTGACAGAGTAGAAATAGAATATTGGTCGATTCTGAAGAGGTAACCATTTCTTAAAATTATCTTTATTTTTTTTATGTAATGGCAACACATGAAGAGTATCATGGACGATTACTTTACATCAAGTGGATCATCAGCAATTTTGACATTCTAAGTTGCTTAAAAAAATATAAAACCCCACGTGGGCCTCGGTTTATCAGAATGTGTGCAAGCAAATAGCTTTCTCTTTTTAAATAAATACTGTCAGTATTTTTAGCTTTTTTATTACACAATAGTTACATCTCCCCTCTTAAGAAGAGGAGATGGCAAACTAACCCCCGGCAGAAGCACCGTCAGTCGCGGTTCAGGGTCCCAAGGAGAGAAACCGGAATAATATGCGGGCAGTATCTAAGAGTACCCCATTCTATATCTTTCCTGAACTGCCTAGTAATCTCAACCGCCTGAGATATTGTTCCAGCCAGTATTAGTGTTTAAGTTTTTTTCTTACGACCACATTGCCCAATCAGTTGTTGGTATAATCAATTAATACAATACAAACATTTAGTACAGCCATTGATCACTTATAACTACATTTACAGTCAACTTTCTAAGCTATTACATATCCATATTTAGAAATAATAGGATCTTCATCGTGTCTCCCACCAAATTGTTTATAATTACTCCTCTCCATCCAAAGGTTGCCTGGAAGAGATCGCTCTTAGCGATAAGGTCGCCCATTGTTTTCTCACTGTGATTATTTCTTGTAATTGTTTATATCTAGAATAAGTTTATTATTGTAATCTTTTTTAGGAAACAATAAAGAGTATCTATCTATCTACCTGTCTAATAATGTTCAAAAATTAAGTGCCATATTAACAAGGACTGAAACATTTCGATGGTATTTAATGTTGAACAAGAAACACGTGTAAATTAAAATAGAGATTTTTAAAGCTATCAGCGAATCTTGTTATTGTGTATTATTCAACACATTTACTATATAAATATTTCGCTTAAGCTTGACATTTAGAACAAAATATATAATATAAATACATTAACTAATAGTGCAACAATTATACTCGTACGCATGTGTCTACCAGAGTATTGGTACATATTATATGCGTGCATAGAGAATAGGTAACGAGACAAGACAAATAACAAAAATATAATTTTTATACACATATATATATATATATATATATATATATATATATATATATATATATATCGACTAAAATAGATTTTTATAATAAATGTATAAATATATAAAATTATAAAAGATAAGTACTTTAAATGTATTAGATCTAATACTAACAAGAAGAAAATAAAAATTCTTCTACAAAATATAGTTAACTACTCTAATAGCTATTAGTATAATTTACGAATATTAAGGAAAAGAAATTATAATAAAAAAAAAACAAACAATTCAATTATATATGTACCTGTACAATCAAAGATATAGTTAAAAATACGTATATTTTACGATAAAAAGAAAACTAAAAACCCTAGCATATACTACTTTACATCTATATATACTACCTATATAAATACGATACCACCTTCCACGTTACAGTGAGTATACATATACAATGATATATATTTCCCAACATTTGACACTATCATACTTATCACAAATTAGTGTTCACAACTTCGAGTCCACCCGTCGTCAGAACAGTCTGACGAGTACTGATAAAGTGAGCAGGCCGGCAAAACTAGTCGCTCGGCCTTGCGATGCCTATGTTTTCTTCGCCTGCGGAGGCCTCCTCAATAGGTGGAGAGGATCCCTCCTGTACCTCGCGAATAACTCCCTCTTGAAGGTCTCGAAGTGCTTTCTGTTTTTCTCGTTCTGTTTCTCGCGCCACAGAGGGCGCGACCTCCGCGCCTGCAGACCCCAGTGGATAGTGAAGATTGGTGATAGCACTCGAAACTGATAGCCAATTAAAAACATTTCGTATACCTGGAAATGAAAAATTATAATGTCGGTTATGTAGTTTAGAATTCCGAAATTGTAATAATGACGTGTGGTCCCAGCATAGAATGGGCTACCTGTTCCTTTCCTGTAAATATCGTAAGAGCCGACTAAGGAAGCTTAATGGACAAAGAATGTGCAGCAGCGTCCCTCTAAAAACATTACCAAAGCGGTAAATTGCGGTGGCCAACTCGCCTACCAGGAGGGAAGGATTGTTAGTAGAGGTTAGTCCCCATTAGTTTAGCGATGTTTGCCGACGCTCGCACAGATAGTTTTGGCGCAGTCTGGCGAAAAAAGACAGCTTCGTTTTTACGTCGAATACGCGGGAGTAGCAACAGTATCCTGAACATGTTTGTTAATAAATTGGATAGTCCTCTCGTGAAAATGCTCTCCGAGAGGATATATCATATTATTTTATATATATTTAATATAAGTATTAACATAGTTTTTAAGTACACTTACTAACAAGAATGGATCCCAGTTATCTAAAAATAGAAATAAATAAATAAATTGCTGTCAATGTGCCCCATTAGGTCCACCTCCACGCGGTCCTCCTGGAAACTTTTATGTCAATATTTTTCATAATAGGACCCAATAAAATGTTATACATTATCTTGACATTTTTATTATTTCGAAAAACACTACATATTTTTTATATCTACATAAAAAAGATATATAAATGAAAACATTATATTCATAACAACACTTTATTAGAAAAATAAACTTAACAAAAATAAATACAATTCGAACATATATGTATGGTATATACTCAATAAAATAACAAAGAGATTCCATTTTTATTTATTATCACAGACGAGTTCAATGTAAAATGTATCAAATATTATTAATCACAGCGTTCAAACTCCTGCATTTTGTGTGACCCAGTCCCTCAGGGAGGCTATATTGGTGAATACTGTGGGCGAGAGAGGCAGTGCGCATCCTCTAGCGAAGGACACTACTCCGTATGCTATCCCTCGGAACACTGCTGGACCTCCAGAATCCCCCTGTCAACAATATAAGTTTATACTCATAATTCTTTATCAGCTAAAAACTTCAAAGACAACTGCTTGGATTATTTTTTTTTTCAATGGGTGAAAATGGTATGGTAACCCCTTGCTTGGGTTATTATGCCACTCGTGTTACTACAGTGAAACAGCTGTATTTAAATAGCTGCATTTCGGTTTGGCAATGAAATATACATTCGCCGGGGGAAAAGGGATTGTTAGTAATGGAGACTGAGAATCCCATTGCTAGCAATATACCCAACCAGGTTGACCTCCTCGCGGTTCCCCCTGGAAACTATCATGGTTAATTTCTGATGAATTCATCATGATGGGCTAACTGGTCTGTTTTCATTCTCATCTATCACCCTTCACTGGTGCTCCGCCAGCGTATCCCGTTAGCGCAGGCGGGGTTACCGTACCATTTTCACCCATTAAAAAAAAAAATATACAGTCGCAGGCATAACACTATAATCCTCAGAAATGCCAACGAATGTCTCTATATATGCTATGTTATCCATGGTGCTGGTCATATCATTTCATATCGAATAAAAAAGAATGAAATAATATTAATTCAAATACCATTTCAGCCGTTAACTGTCCACTGCTGAACATAGGCCTTCCCTATAAGGGGAGTTTTGCTAGTAGTTGCCACGCTTGACAGGCGGGTTAGCAACCGCAGTTAGGCTGTGGTGATATTTTAAGGAGCACTGCGGTCTATCCCTCGGCTATTAAGTTCCCTTAGACGCCTCTACAACACCCACGGGAAAGGAAGAGATGGACTCAAATATTTTCAATTAATTTATGCATAAGATATCTCGCCAGCACTATGATATGGTGTCCCCAATATCTTAAAGTATGCGTTATCCTGAGGACTATGATGTTATGTCAGAAATTTCGCTACTATATCCCACCTATCAAGCTTAATATAACAGCCATACAAAGTGCATTCGTTCATTTTTCATACAACAATAAAGTACAATTTACTATCTTACAGTTACCTGGCATGAAGACACCCCTCCGATAAGGAAGTGGCCACCACAAAACATGTGGTTTGTTAGTGCATCCCCATATGACAACCTGCAGAGCCAGTGTGGCACCACCGGCACTTGGGCCTCCATCATCATCCGGGGGATACGACGGCCTCGCGGCTGCAATAAAAAAAAAAATATCAAGGATCTTCCTTTATCAAGCACCAGTCTCTCACAAAATTGCTCTTACGTATTTAATTGTACCTCAAGTTGTTACTTTATACTAAATTTTTTGAAAAAAAAATAAACCATTCACTCATTCATCAATGAAAGAAAATGAGATAAAAAAAGAGACATGGAATACATCTATTATATTTTATTATCTTGTAAGTCGAACGCATTTGAAGACAAAAATCTTTAACCAGTGCGTGTTGCCAGTGATGGCTTATGGAACCGAAACATGGTTCTACACGATTGCCCATATGCAAAAGCTACAAATTACTCGGCGAGCTATGGAGAGGGCTATGCTCGGAGTTTTTCTGCGTAATAGAATCCGAAACGAGAATATCCGAAAAAGAACCAAAATAACCGACACAGCCCGAAAGATAAATAAAGTAGCAATGGGCTGGTCACAGAGCCCAAAGAATTGACAATCGATGAGGAAGAAAGGTTCTTGAGTGGCGACCCTGTACGGGCAAACGCAGTGTAGGATGACCCTCCACTAGATAGAGTAACACCCTAAAATGCATTGCAAGGAGGCAGTAGATGCAGGTGACTCAGGACCGTTCTTTATGGCAGTGTATGGGAGAGACCTATATCCAGCAGTGGATAGATAATGGCTGAAATGATGATAACAATGGCAAAAGCAGATTTGTTTAGACTAATAGTTACACATACATAAAGAATTGAAGCGAATTTACTGACTTTTAATTGAAATAATCTCTAGGACTCCACATAAATGCTGGTTTATATACAGAAAAAAAAATGGATTTAAAAGTATTTTCGTATCCAAAAACTGTCGTTAATTTAACACTCATATTACAGGGTACTGAAATAAAATACTTAAGAATGATCTCGCGTGAGAGGTATCTAGGGAGTCATAATGTATTCATACTTTATGTATGATAGAGCTCGTGTAGTAGTAGTCATGTAGTCAGCGTACGTAAATAACAATTACCACTTTTCGTCTCAGGTGGGCTATAAGCTTATTTGCCATTACAAGTTTCATTAAAAAATATTCTTATTATGCTATTCATGAAAAATATCTCCTTTATTACCAATTTTTTCACACAGCATAATTAGTCCCTAATTATTACACCACAAAAGATGGTGTCATACAAAATTAAATCTTATCACCATCATCTTTATGTCCTTATCCCAACTATTTCAGATCAGCATAATGTTTTTATTCATATTGCACAAAGTTTTGGCATTTGGTTTTACGACCGGAAGCCTGTCTGACGTCATCTCTCTTGTGGATGTATCTATTGGTAGTATCTGTTACCTACGATATAGAGGAGTGGATAAGAAAGAAGGAGAAAACCGTAAGCAGTGAAAAAAAGAAGTTGGTAAAAAAAAATAATGAAATATTTAAAGAGAATGGATGACTCTGCAGTTGCAGAAGGGCAGTCAGAAAGTATAATAACTTGGAAGGCCGGTTTCATGCTTACAAAATTAAACCTTATTAACATTATTTTAATATACAAAATACCAACCGCAGTCAGTCCCCAACCGGTGACAGTGAGGCGCACCAGCGGCACAGCATCCCCCGGTTGTGGCAGGCGGATCGCATTCACTGCAGCGTTAAAATTCAAAGGCTGGGCGAGTCGCAGCACGGCTATGTCGTTGTCGAACTCTGGTCTCCCATACTGAGGGTGGACAGTCACGTTGGCCACCCTGACGATTCTCCCGCCGGAGTCCCGACGCGTGCTTCCCACTCGGAGGCGGATAGCGCCAGGGGATGTGCTGTACGAACATTTTGCAAATTTTAAACAATTTTAGCAAGTCTTTTTCAATCGACTTTAAAAAAAGAGAGACTGTATTTTTTCGACTACCTGCAAAAAAAAAGAAGAGGTATTCAGTTCGTAGAATTTTTTATTTTATTTTCACAAATACATCTATTCTTTTTCAATCGAGTTCAAAAAGAGATTCCCAATTTGATGGTATTTTTAACGTGTGTTACCTCATAACTCCGTTATCCAAAAAGTGTTATGGAAACTTCTTTTTTTTTATCTAAAAAGATACACTTTCAGTGTGGTTTCATAGAAATTTTATCAAAATTGGTTTAATTGTTGAATTTTTGATCAATTTAACTGGTCTTGCTACAAATAAAATCTAAATATTTTTTTGTGGAACAAAATCTAAAATTGTTGTGTACTCGTATGTTAGGCCAATTCTCCACCTGAGCTTCATTATTTCATTTTGCATTTGAAAGGGCACTATTACTCCTGTATTGATCACATCTGATTGTTTCCCATATACCTCTAAAAGTCACTTAAATATTAAAACGCATAATATCATACAGTCTTATTGCAGTAAACTCAACGTATAATGAAATTGAAAAAGTGTTTTTATTACCTTATAATAGTGTTTAATATCTTATGTTACCTAGATGGATGATAGAAATAATTAAATTTACAATTTATATGAATCTTTACTACAAGTCTTTTACGGACTAGAACGAGAGAATTGAATGTCAAAGGTCTTTTTTATGCAACTTAGAATGGCAAACAAGCTGACGGCCCAACTAACGGAAAATAATAACCGTTGCCTATAGACATGAGCAGTATCATGGACATAACAGAGTATACTGTTTCACCCATAATACCTCCCATTCCTGAGGACTCAGGTCTTATTCCTCTGTCTGTAAATTCACTGCCATATCCCACCCTTCAAACCGAAACATAGCCGACACAACAATAACATAACAAACACAACTGCTTCACGGTAGAAATACGAATCGGACAAAGCAAGCAACTATTGTACAAAGTCTCCCTCTAATAAAAGGTAAGTGTCT